GTCCAAACCCTCTCGGATCCGAGCGACTTTGTCATGCAGATACTGTGCAAACTCCTCAGCCTTCCCCGCCAGGTGGTCCCCCCCCCCAATTGGAGAAGGGAGCGGGTCACCCTGAAGAGGGAGGCTGGGCGATTATCTGATGACGCAATGAGGGTGGAGTAGTAATTAGTCCTCGCCACCCTCATCGCCACAAGGTAGGCATCAGCACATCTGAGCACATCTGGAGCACATTTAATCAGATTATTTTCATACCCAAAATCTATCACACTCCTTGCTCTCTTCCAACAAAAAGGCACAATATGTCACGCTACATACTGTATGAAAATCTAGCTGGATTAGACAATTGTACCTGAATATATAAAGGCAACCAAGTGAGAAAGCTGCACACTGTTCCTGCTGGGGGCTGGATCCTAAACCTCTGTAACAATTTTGTTTGGTACCAGATGTTTGGAGAAGCAGGAGAAAAGAAAGAGCGAGCACTCTTCCTATTAATACTGCTCAAAGCCTTTCCAGTCCCCTTACAGCAGTGTTTCTCAACCTTGACAATTTTAAGGCATGTGGACTTCAACTCCCATTGCTGGCTGTGGAATTCTGGGAGTTGAAGTCCACATGCCTTAAAATTGTCAAGGTTGAGAAACACTGCCTTACAGTGAAATGTACAAACATATGCATGTAGAAGCAGAAAAAAAATATCCAGGATTTTGTTTTAAGAAAAACAAGATTAATTTATGGTTCCTTGACCCTAGTTAAAAATCAGGCAGAACCGAGTTTGAATCTGAGTTCTGAATCTTGCTTGCATCTTTGCCTTAGTATGTAAGCTTACCAAAATTAATTATGTAAGCTAATTAAAATTAAGGAATTAAGGAGGAACTTCCTAACAGTGAGGACAATTAACCAGTGGAACAGCTGGCCTTCAGAATTTATGGGTGCTCCATCACTGGAGGTTTTTAAGAAGAGACCGGGAAGCCACTTGTCTGAAATGGTATAGGGTCTCCTGCTTGAGCAGGGGGGCTGGACTAGAAGACCTCCAAGCTCCCTTCCAGCTCTATTCTGATTCTGAAATAATGTACTGTACAGTGTCATGAGTCTGACTAATACTGGATATTCTTGCTTTGACATACAGGATGTTGCAAGGATTAGAAGATACTGCATCCAAAACCACCTTGAAACTTCTACAAGGATGTGTGAACTTGAAGATTTATAGTGTGTGTCTGACATCTGTGTTTAACAGAGTATTTTCTTTATTCTTAAAAATGTGAATTATCGCTCCGATTGTTTTTCGTTTTAATTACCATGAAAATGTAAACAATCCATTTATTCAGGTTAAATGGTTAAATGGTTTTCAGGAAAACTCTATTATAGCTATTTCTGCTTTGGATGCTGCAGGTTGCTTCAAAATTGGAAATCACAAGAGGTTTTGGCAGACCTCCTTCCTTTCTAACTCACTTGGTGCTAGTAATATTTTAGAAAACACAGGAATAAGCTGCCCAGTAGATGTCACCCTTTCCCAAGTCTCTCGCATGGTACTGGATTCGGAACCAACACCGTGTTCCCCCAAAAATAAGACCCAACTGGAAAATAAGCCCTAACATGATTTTTCAGGATGCTCGTAATATAAGCCCCATCCCAAAAATAAGCCCCAGTTAGAATCATCAGCCAGATGGACGCATTTAGTACCGTATTTCCCCGAAAATCAGCCCTAACTGGAAATTAAGCCCTGGTGCGTCTTTTGGAACAAAAATTAATATAAGACCCGGTCTTATTTTCGGGGAAACACGGGTAATACTC